AAAAAAAAAAAAAAAAAAAAAAAAATGAAAAAATAAGTAAATAAAAAAAAAATTACAAGAAAGTAATGAAATAGAAGTAGTAGATGACAGTTTATAGAAAACGTTTTGCATACTGCCGGAACACGGTTAGACTAGAATGACCAGCGTGAAACAAATGTCTTCATCATATCAGCGTATTGCCCTCGTTTGTTGTCAGGGTAGTTTAGCAAATTTGGTGCTACTGTGAAGTGAGCCTTGGGCGACACCGTATAAATTATGCAAACTACGTAACAGTTTGACTGTGGTGTGAAAACCTATCGGTAGTAAGCAGTTGTTGGTGTAAAATCATAGACAAAACACGAAAAAACAATTCCGTTCAGTTCGATTGACGGAGATGAATCTGGCTACCTGGGAGTCCGTGTCATAATCGAGAAATTGCATCAAATCCGTGTGATAATATCATAAACTATTGAAGACTGAAGATGTCGTCGCCGTACACAGTGTTCTTTGACCAGTACTGGTTCGATACGAGTCTTCCAAGCATCATCGTGTACATCATTGTGTCGCTCTTCACCATATTCTCAAATCTCCTCCTTTGCGTGGCTTACTGGAAAGATCCATTCCACAACCTAAAGACCGCGCAAAATTACTTCGTTCTCAACTTGGCGATCGCCGATCTCATTATGGGTGCCATTTCAGAGCCTCTTCTTGTAGTGACGTATTGGTATGACCACAACCTCATCTACTTCATCCACTATCTATTCGCTATCATCTCTGCGGCCTGTTCGTTACTCAACATAACAGCGCTCTCCATAATTCGATATTTCGCCGTGAAACAGCCCTTTCTCACTCAAAGCATCGTTAACGAGCGCAGTGCGTTAGTCGGCATCGGTGTTGTCTGGGTCATAGCTATCCATTACGCCCTGCTTCCGTTTGTGGGATGGAGAGACAAAACTTTTCAACTCTACTTGTATGGCTTAGCCTGCGTGATTCCGACCGTGGTATTTATCGTCGCTTATTTCCTGGTGTATCGTGCGCTACGTCGCCATACGACCGTGATCAAGGGTCTCGGAGAGGGAAAAAGCTTGGCTCTCGAAAACGCGCTTCGTACAGAAAAAGCTGCAACGCGAACGGTTTTGCTGGTTCTGGTGGTGTTCCTTGCGTTATGGATTCCGTTTTTGAGCATCGATTTTATAATAGTTCAATGTGAGACCTGCAGAAACGAAACGTTTCACATGGCTCGGGACATCACCCTTTCGCTGGTGTATTTTAGCAGTGGAATTAATCCGGTGATTTACGCTTGGCGCGTGAAAGTTTTCCGGAGAGCTTTTATGCGCGTATTGAGTGTCCAAGGGGGGTGTTCTTTTAATCGAAGCCGTGCATTGTGGAAAAGGACTATTAATGGTGGGGTTTCGCTACCAAATCTCGCGCTGAACAGTTCCAAGCAAGCAAGTTGGAATGTGGTATATCCTGGTTTGAAGGGAGAAACTATTGATGGCAGCACAGGGCAAGCAAATGAATCGCTAGAACTTAGTTCAGCAGAGTTGGTTGTTTGTAAGACACCTGCCGCTGTACCAAATTGAAAATTTGGCAAAGTCCCCGTGAAAATATGCTACAAAACCCGCAGTTTTATTTGTTTTCAGTTGGATAAAAGCTCAACAAACTGTTTACGTGTTTTCGTGGTCTCTGCGGAACACGTCGGGAGTATAAATGTAGATAGCCTTCATACAAACGAAACAGTACGTGTCAAAGTGTCCACGTAATATTTACTGAGTCCTTTTGAATCTTCTCTTGGGGCAAGTCTTTTGAAGTGGCACATCTGCCGCTGGTGTCAAACAATTTTTAATTTTCGTGCGTCGCATTGTCTGGGGAAACAACAATTAAAGGAACATTAAGAAAATTGGACCATGGTTGTTATATCCACTAGACGCCCAAATTAGTTCTACGAATTAATAAAAGGACACCTGCCATGCCAATTCCAACAATGGCAGCTCTCGTGATCAAATGAAAGTTGGCTTAAAAAGTAACAACTATAGCCGAGTATAAGTAATCAGCAGCTAAGATAATAAAAAACTGTCATTTCGAATCAGATATGGTTTTCAGGAAAAAGAGTAAATTGCATCCAAATTCGGTTTGTGTCAACTTGTGGATGGAAAATTGTCGCGACGTGATTGAAAATAATTCTATACTGGCATATTCCAGCATCAGGACGCTGCGGGTGTCGGGCGCGAGCCAAAGGAAAGAAAACAAAGGCAAATGTGAAAATGAAGGAACTGGCTTATTTGAAACAAAGGAGGTCGTGGAATTTATTAGTTAATGGCCAGAGTCATTGTGAAAAATGTTAATTTGAGTTGGAGCTTTGAAAAATGTTAATTTGAGTTGGAGCTTTGTCAACAGACTTCAGAGAGGAAATGCTACCAGTTGCAACTAAATTCAAATTTACTCGTCTAAAGGCCAAAATCATAGACATATTTGGGTTTTGAGCACAAACAGCTCGAAAATTGAAGGCAAACAAGAAAAGCAAACAAGGACGAAACATTTAGAATTCCAAATTCGTGTTTAAACAAAACTTAGGTTTGACCTACAGGGAAGTCTTTTTAGTAAAGCGCGACAAATGTGTTTCGAGCTATTTCTTGAAAAAGCAAAAGAGAACCTTCGAGAAAATGGAAATTATATGTGTGGTCTGATGTTTGCCAACAGCATGATATACTCTTTTGATTAATTTACCAAGTTTTAATAAGTATCGCTGAGATATTTTTACAAAATGTTCAAACTTCAGTAAATGAATCTAGCGTAAAAATTGGGCTAGCGCTTTTCACAAATTTTGTCTAGTAGATGCTGGGACTATTTTATACCTATAAATACACATACAATTTCTATGTCGAATAAATAAATAAATAAATAATAAATAAAGCGATGTTTCTAGCCAAGACGTATGTTGTTTTTAATCACAGCGTATCGTAAGGTTGCGTGCAATTTCACTTGCAGCTCAAGGTGCCGGGAGCTAAAAGGAATAGTGATAATATTTCTGTAATTGCATGGGCGCAGAATAATTTTTGATGTTGATAAAAGCGCGGAATTTAGTCATTACACTCAACAAACTTTTTTTGACGTCTGTTAAATTTCTCAAACGGTATTGCAAAAACTGAGTGGCAGGTTTAAGGATTTTCAATCATAAGATCGGGGGAAGGGGTACTCCTGTTTTGTCATGTACTGCGGATCACTACTGGGTCCTCAGTTTTAAAAAGTTTAAGAACGGACTTAAGCGTCTTTTTAACTTAGTCTCTTACCTGTTTTAATGAATATTTTGTTGTATACAGATAAATAATTCTAACCTTTTCTTTTAAGGTGAAACGTCAGAAGGCCAAATAACCTCTGTTTCTTCCTTTTCAAGATGTATTTTATTTGTCTTTATTATTGTATCTCGAATAAAACATTATGTTATGTTATGTTTTGTTAAATATCCCTATCCCCGCCCCCCCTCCCCGTTAATTAGTGTTTTAATCCGGCTGGTGTAATATTTAGGCGTTTATCTAGCGACGGACAGTAGAAAGGGAGGTGTGGAAGAGCGGAGTCAGCTGATGAAAGCTAAGGGAAAAAGCGAAAGACAGGTAACATTGGAAGTCTCTGGTAATGCCCCTATGCGCATGTCCGAGGGAATGAAGAAGAACATTGAGTGAATGAGTGCGTGTGTAATCCTTACACAGTACTCCTTTAAACTGTATTAGCTAAACCTGCACGAGAACTCCGAGCCCTGGACGAGCTAAACGAAAAACGATATGTCTCCCACACACTTACGTAATGAATTTATGAGAGTACTCCCCCCCCCGTATCACGTTAATGAAAAAGCTATTTGTTAAAGGAACTTTCAAGAAACCCAAACGAGACACCCTGAAAGAGAGTTAGCAACTTATGAAAGCGATTTACTGCATTTAATTGCAAATGAAAATAGGACAAGACGGTTGTGAATATGGGATTCTAATTGTTTTGCAGTAATTAATTACACAGGATTATTCCAGACACCTGGAGACGACCCGCGGTCATTGCGAAATTGAATATTTTAATTCTCAAAACTTCTTATTCAATAGCACGGACGGAAATTTCGATGAATTCCACACTGATAATTACTACACAAACAATTTCATGTTAGCAGCTGCTCTACGATAAGGTTTTTATTTTTTACGGTTTTCATCGAGACTATGGTTATGGAGAACGTGACCGGATCGAGCTTGAACAGTTAAAATACAATTTAATCCTTTAGTTCGTGCCCTAAAGGCAAAAACAGGAAAAACAGTTTCATTTTCATATATAATATTACGCGACAGATTAATTAAGGAAACGATATGGGCTACAATAGATTGTAGAATACCGGGCCATTCATTTGCATGTTATTGAATTTGAATGGTTCCTTTTGTTTCTTTTTGCTGCTTTCTTAGGCTTCGTCCACGTTACGACGGAGGAATTTGAAAACACAACTTTATTTCTACGATTAGGCCTACCGTACAAACTAATCGGTCACGAAAAAGGAGCTTTTCGAAAACGCTCTTCAAACCGGAGTAATTTGCCTAAAACGCTGGCTTTTCGTTTTCGTGTGGACGGAAGACATTTTGAAAACTTGGAAGCCTTCCGAAAACAATGACATCACGCGATAATCATGTGATTTCCCTGAACGAGTTTTCCTCAAACACAAATCCAAAATGACCTATGATTGTTGCGTTTTCAAATTTCTCCGGAGTAGCGTTGACGGAAAATATTTGAAGCGTTTACAGAGTGCAAAAGACCGTTCTCAAATTTCTCCGCCATAGTGTGGACAGGGAATAAGTGAACTGATGACGAACGGTGTATAGAAAACACTGATTTTTTTTTGTAAAAGGTCACCAAACTTGATCCTTACCGGACGTCGTTGGATTTTGTTTAGTCTCTGTTTATTGTTATAGTTTCATCGTGTTACACATTTATATTCTAAAATGACGACTTTTTTTTCTACAAAAAATGTTGCACCCCGAAAAAAGCAGGTTTCATATTACACACCTACTTTCCCATAACAGCCATCTCTTTCTGCCCTCAGGGTGGCCGTTGTGGGAAGGTTCGATCGACTGTAGCATTTTCTGGAATTTTCTGAAAAGAGGACAACTTTGCAAGGTACACTTAAATTTTCGATTCATTCGTTATTTCAGCATGATATCACTAACAGTGTTTATAGGACGTATGTACTACATGCTCTGATACAACACTTCTCTTCATTTTATCGCGTTTCACGTACCATGTTTCTAGTGATATCGCGCCCACGCGAACGTGACCGCACTGAACTTGTACCTGGTTGCACAGCGCTAGCGTACCAGAAATCGCGACAAAAATTGCACCGAAAATCAATTTTGTAAGCGGGCCATAAAAATCCTTAAAATATCAATATGTAGACTGCTTGTGACCTTGCTTGTGTGGTTTTCTGCGATTTCTCGAGTCTGACGATCGCGGGCTCCTTTTCCAAGCAGTCAGCTAGCTTGGTAGCCGAGCCTAAGTTCATCTCCGTGAGTACTGCGAGTGTAAATCAGGCCAGTTGACCGAGCAAATGACCGAGGAAAGGGGGGAAACCAAACCCATGCCCCACGCCTTTTTCGTTTCACACACACAAAAAATAATTTCGCGAGACAAAACGAGTACAAGCAGTGTAGTGCATACAATACAAAACCGAGACAGCGAAAGAAAATAGTAACTACCGTGCTTGTGCTTGAATTTTTAACCATGCGAGGTTTTTACGGAATGGAGGTTAACCAGTTAAAGTAAACTGTGCTCGTATCCTATCGTAATTTAGTATATATCTACTAGCGTTCTATCACGAATGCCGTTCTCTGATTGGCTACGCTACACTCACTATCTATTCTGTGATAGATAGTGAGGAGCGTAGCAGTGTGCCCTTGTTAACAAAATGACGCCGCTTCTTAATTTTAGTAGATAGAAACAAATATGAGGATATCGATTAANCCCTATGCGCATGTCCGAGGGAATGAAGAAGAACATTGAGTGAATGAGTGCGTGTGTAATCCTTACACAGTACTCCTTTAAACTGTATTAGCTAAACCTGCACGAGAACTCCGAGCCCTGGACGAGCTAAACGAAAAACGATATGTCTCCCACACACTTACGTAATGAATTTATGAGAGTACTCCCCCCCCCGTATCACGTTAATGAAAAAGCTATTTGTTAAAGGAACTTTCAAGAAACCCAAACGAGACACCCTGAAAGAGAGTTAGCAACTTATGAAAGCGATTTACTGCATTTAATTGCAAATGAAAATAGGACAAGACGGTTGTGAATATGGGATTCTAATTGTTTTGCAGTAATTAATTACACAGGATTATTCCAGACACCTGGAGACGACCCGCGGTCATTGCGAAATTGAATATTTTAATTCTCAAAACTTCTTATTCAATAGCACGGACGGAAATTTCGATGAATTCCACACTGATAATTACTACACAAACAATTTCATGTTAGCAGCTGCTCTACGATAAGGTTTTTATTTTTTACGGTTTTCATCGAGACTATGGTTATGGAGAACGTGACCGGATCGAGCTTGAACAGTTAAAATACAATTTAATCCTTTAGTTCGTGCCCTAAAGGCAAAAACAGGAAAAACAGTTTCATTTTCATATATAATATTACGCGACAGATTAATTAAGGAAACGATATGGGCTACAATAGATTGTAGAATACCGGGCCATTCATTTGCATGTTATTGAATTTGAATGGTTCCTTTTGTTTCTTTTTGCTGCTTTCTTAGGCTTCGTCCACGTTACGACGGAGGAATTTGAAAACACAACTTTATTTCTACGATTAGGCCTACCGTACAAACTAATCGGTCACGAAAAAGGAGCTTTTCGAAAACGCTCTTCAAACCGGAGTAATTTGCCTAAAACGCTGGCTTTTCGTTTTCGTGTGGACGGAAGACATTTTGAAAACTTGGAAGCCTTCCGAAAACAATGACATCACGCGATAATCATGTGATTTCCCTGAACGAGTTTTCCTCAAACACAAATCCAAAATGACCTATGATTGTTGCGTTTTCAAATTTCTCCGGAGTAGCGTTGACGGAAAATATTTGAAGCGTTTACAGAGTGCAAAAGACCGTTCTCAAATTTCTCCGCCATAGTGTGGACAGGGAATAAGTGAACTGATGACGAACGGTGTATAGAAAACACTGATTTTTTTTTGTAAAAGGTCACCAAACTTGATCCTTACCGGACGTCGTTGGATTTTGTTTAGTCTCTGTTTATTGTTATAGTTTCATCGTGTTACACATTTATATTCTAAAATGACGACTTTTTTTTCTACAAAAAATGTTGCACCCCGAAAAAAGCAGGTTTCATATTACACACCTACTTTCCCATAACAGCCATCTCTTTCTGCCCCCAGGGTGGCCGTTGTGGGAAGGTTCGATCGACTGTAGCATTTTCTGGAATTTTATGAAAAGAGGACAACTTTGCAAGGTACACTTAAATTTCCGATTCATTCGTTATTTCAGCATGATATCGCCGGAGGTTTCGGACTTACGACAAACACAACACTAACAGTGTTTATAGGACGTATGTACTACATGCTCTGATACAACACTTCTCCTCATTTTATCGCGTTTCACGTATCATGTTTCTAGTGATATCGCGCCCACGCGAACGTGACCGCACTGAACTTGTACCTGGTTGCACAGCGCTAACGTACCAGAAATCACGACAAAAATTGCACCGAAAATCAGTGTTGTAAATGGGCCATAAAAATCCTTAAAATAGCAATATGTAGACTGCTTGTGACCTTGCTTGTGTGGTTTTCTGCGATTTCTCGAGTCTGACGATCGCGGGCNAGCGTTGACGGAAAATATTTGAAGCGTTTACAGAGTGCAAAAGACCGTTCTCAAATTTCTCCGCCATAGTGTGGACAGGGAATAAGTGAACTGATGACGAACGGTGTATAGAAAACACTGATTTTTTTTTGTAAAAGGTCACCAAACTTGATCCTTACCGGACGTCGTTGGATTTTGTTTAGTCTCTGTTTATTGTTATAGTTTCATCGTGTTACACATTTATATTCTAAAATGACGACTTTTTTTTCTACAAAAAATGTTGCACCCCGAAAAAAGCAGGTTTCATATTACACACCTACTTTCCCATAACAGCCATCTCTTTCTGCCCTCAGGGTGGCCGTTGTGGGAAGGTTCGATCGACTGTAGCATTTTCTGGAATTTTCTGAAAAGAGGACAACTTTGCAAGGTACACTTAAATTTTCGATTCATTCGTTATTTCAGCATGATATCACTAACAGTGTTTATAGGACGTATGTACTACATGCTCTGATACAACACTTCTCTTCATTTTATCGCGTTTCACGTACCATGTTTCTAGTGATATCGCGCCCACGCGAACGTGACCGCACTGAACTTGTACCTGGTTGCACAGCGCTAGCGTACCAGAAATCGCGACAAAAATTGCACCGAAAATCAATTTTGTAAGCGGGCCATAAAAATCCTTAAAATATCAATATGTAGACTGCTTGTGACCTTGCTTGTGTGGTTTTCTGCGATTTCTCGAGTCTGACGATCGCGGGCTCCTTTTCCAAGCAGTCAGCTAGCTTGGTAGCCGAGCCTAAGTTCATCTCCGTGAGTACTGCGAGTGTAAATCAGGCCAGTTGACCGAGCAAATGACCGAGGAAAGGGGGGAAACCAAACCCATGCCCCACGCCTTTTTCGTTTCACACACACAAAAAATAATTTCGCGAGACAAAACGAGTACAAGCAGTGTAGTGCATACAATACAAAACCGAGACAGCGAAAGAAAATAGTAACTACCGTGCTTGTGCTTGAATTTTTAACCATGCGAGGTTTTTACGGAATGGAGGTTAACCAGTTAAAGTAAACTGTGCTCGTATCCTATCGTAATTTAGTATATATCTACTAGCGTTCTATCACGAATGCCGTTCTCTGATTGGCTACGCTACACTCACTATCTATTCTGTGATAGATAGTGAGGAGCGTAGCAGTGTGCCCTTGTTAACAAAATGACGCCGCTTCTTAATTTTAGTAGATAGAAACAAATATGAGGATATCGATTAACATTGATAAATAGTGTTTAAACAAAAGATATGTTATTAAATAGCCTTGCTGACTTGCCGACTTAAATATCTACAAAAAAATCTTATACGAGACAAAAACAGACACATTTTAAGTGTATAGGAAACTATCTTTTTTTTATCCATTGTAAGTTAGAATCAAAGTAAACTTTTCAAATGCTCAATAGCTCCTTAGGAGTAGTGCAACCGACAAGAATACATTGTGACAAAGTGGGGGTGCTTTTCATTTAGAGTTTCCTTATTCTTGTACGTTTTTATATAAACCTCTTTCTGTCCAAACACAAGAGTCGTACTGGGGAATACTGGCCCGAGGCCATGACAGAACCGGACCGATCGCAGCGAGGTCGTAAAAAGACGACCGACGGGGCCAATATTCCACAGTAAGGCTCGAGCAAGCTACGTCAGCAAGTTAAGAGTAGTTTATTATAAGGCACTAAATTTTGAATTTGCCGGCTTTTGAAAACATAATAACAATTGAAATCATTATATGGCAAGGTAGTCTTTGGGTAAATTCGAGCGTTCTGATTGGTTCTTTCTCGGTCGAGATTTTACCATACGGAGGCCTTGTAAAAACCAGCACATTCAATAATTACAGGCATAGCTAAGCATGGCGCGAGTGTCATACACTAAACTACTTACTAACATAACTTGCTCGAGCCTTCCTGTGGAAAATTGGCTTTCGGTCGTTTTTGTACGATCTCGGTCCGTACTGCCACGACCTCGGGGCGACGTTCCCCAGAGTGGCCCTCGCACTCGGTCAGTAATTAGCTCTTGATTACTGAACCGAGCAGGAGGTCTGTATGCGGGCATCTTGACCGAGGACGTGAGTACAGACCGAACGCAGTGAGGTCTGTACTCACGACCGAGGTCAAGTTCTCCCATACAGACAGACCAAGCTCGGTTAATAAGATGTTTATTATATGGCAAACAAGAACAATTTAATGTAACTGGTTTGTATTAGCTGGCATTTTGCTTACGAAAGGCGAAGAGCTGAACTTAATTCTGCCAAAGTTTGCTCGTCCTCTTTACTTCTTTCTTTGATGAGCCTTTTTGGCACTTCCATAAATAAATATTGTTAGAAGAAAATACTCAATATTTTTGCATTTTAGTTTGCAACTTTTTCACCGCAAAACATTACCGGTCTAGATGCTGATCTAGATGGGAAAATCTAGACCTCTTTCAATATCGATTTCAGCCAATCATATTCGTGAATTCAGTAGCTCCCAGTCCTTGTGAGACATAGCCACATAATAAGAGCATATCACTCTATCTATGACACAACAGAAACAGATTTTCGGGGTAAATTAGTGTAACACGATCTCTCTTGATCGACTTCGGTTCGAGAACGAAAAGGAACCACTGTCAATGGATAGACCACATTGTTTCGTCGTCGCATCAGTTTCCTCATTCCGAGCACGCGGATAAATGCCCTGCGGAACTGCGTCACACGCCATGCGTAAAGGAGCGGGTTCACACACGAACTAAAGTAGGTTAAAGTTAAGGTAACATCGCGCGCAGCGTGAAAACCAAACGTTCTACACTGGATACACTGGACCATAATCAAATCTATTAACAAAAATGGAAACCAGAACGATAAAAACACAGCCAGGACTATCAGCATAGTCTTCGTGGTAGATTTTTCTCTGGACATGGCGTTTTTCAACGCCGTGTTTCCCATGGATCGTCCTAGCGTCTTGGTATGCGCGCGAATCGATTTGAAAATCCCGCCATAGGCCATAAAAATAACCACACTCGGTAGGAAACAACCTAAGCCGTAGAGATAAATCTGGTATCTCGAGTCGACCCAGCCCACTAATGGTAAAAGCGAAAAATGCACAGCGTAAATCCATATGATCGTTATGGAGATCAAAATGCGACGTTGCGTCATTACTTCTTGGAAATTGAGCGGCATTTTGACCGCGAAATAGCGATGAATCGACAGCGCCGCCATATTTAACAATGAAGATACTCCTGAGATAATAGCAAAGAGATAATGAGCGAGAAACACAGTTTCGCTGCCGTTCCAGTAAGTACCTATGAGTATAGTCTCGGCGGCAATTCCCATCAAGAGATCAGAGATCCCCAGGCTTATGATGTAGTAATTTTGCAGAGTGCGCAGCTGGCGGTAAGGGTCTTTGATGAAAGCCGTACAAACTAGAACGTTCCCGAAGATTGTTAATAGAGAAATGAAGATATAAACTATCATACTTGGGAGGTTTGTGTGAAACCAGTAGCCGTCGAAAAACATTGCTTGGCGTCTCTATTTGCTGCTCAGACTTTTTCTGCTGTTTATAGAAGTGAATGAAATAGAGCTCAACGATAGTTCAACGAAGCAAGATGTCGGGTGTTTAATGCCGGGTACCAACCCAATGAAGTTCCTTGTTAGTTTCAGCGTTTCAGCAAACAATGATGTACTGTACTTCCGTCTCTTTTTTTGGGATTAACTTGCCGTTACGTCGGCTGCACCTTTTGTAGTCAATTCAGTAGTGTAGCAACTTAACTATACTTTGTCTTCTAATAATTCTTGCGTTGAACTAGCAGTGGAAACTGTCTTCCGTAAAGAGTCTTTCAATTTCAGGAGTGTAAGAGTTAAGGCAACTAAAATCTTCCTTTCCAGAACGTCTGAGATTCTCAACTGAAGTGGTTTCTATAACAAGTGATAAGCTGGCCAAAGACCGTGAATTTTCAGCTTTTATGCAATCTTTTCTGAATTCCAAGGCAAAAAGAGCGTGCCAATACAGTGAAACAATGCATACAGAAATTAAGTAAACCACTCGCGTGCAAACTTCGTAGCAACTTATCCTAGCACAACACAATAAACGCGGTCCTATTTAGCTGTTTTAGAATTTTCTTTTTCTTCCTTCTCTTCTGCTCTGCTTAAGTATCCCACAGAGATGCAAGTCGATGGGAGGTCGCTTACGCTCAGTAAACCAGTGCCTCAGTGGTTTACCAACCCACAGTTCTTGTGTGGCAGTTTCACCTCACTGTCGATGGAGAACATTTCTGACCATTTTTTTCCGTGATCGCCGCGCTTGCCTTTGTCAGTCACAGCGGCTTAGCATTCAGTGTTCTCTGTAACTAAACGACAAATGTACCAGGCAGGTGAACCAATTTGAAAATGAATTAGGAAGCTTATTATGTCATGAAAAGAATTGTACGGTAATTAGGTTTTTCGTTCAGGAAAATACGATTAAAATAAGATATCTCCTTAACTTACAAGATTTCTTACTTGAAACGAAATCTAATAACTTAGGCAGAAATGATTGTGTTTTCGTTCGTAGCAGTGTTGGTTTTGTTACATCCCTTTCAACGATTTAGACGTAAAACCCAGCTTTTTGAATTCTCATTTTTTTTCCCGTCCGCTAATCTCTGTCAACTTCGTTTGTGGCATCTCTGTCTCTCACAGCAGCTAATGAGGAAGCAAACGTCCAAAAAACTTGACAGAAAATCTGTAAACGAGAAATAATCTTCAGTGATTGCGCGTCAAGACAAAGAGCCGACACCGGCAATCAACTTCCGATTAATTTTGGCTTTTTAATTACTCCAGATGAAAGGGAGAATAGAGCAAAGCAAAATAGTACATTTGACCATGATATCACAGTAACTAATTACGGCTTAAACAAAATGAAACCTCGTAACGTTTAAATGAAGAATAGATGAAGAAAAAAGATTTTGCTCTTTCGGAAAAGAAATGAAAAAGATCAAAGTATAAACCGTTTGTTTGCTAAGTAGACTTTGATTTTACCTTATGGATTCCTGTCATATATTTAGCAACCTTTCTATGGCTCTCCAAGTTTGCTTGCTAAAGATTTTTAAATCTATGAGATATATGTGCGCAAGGTTCTTGTCATAGTAACAAGACTTTCAGTCTAAGCATTCCTATTTTTAAAATCCATTAGTACATTGTTTGTGATTAAGCCATGCAAACAAAGCGCTAAAAATTTCAATTGAGAATTGCACCCCGCGGAGAGATCTTTGAAACAAAACCCGCTTTGTCCAATTTAGATTAAACTTAGAAACTCGTTTTTAAAACAACGATATTACGAAGAAAAATTTGAATATGATTATTAGTATGCGACGGCTTTTAGGGATGTAATGTATATCCCTGCAACGCTAAAACTCCAATTCAAGTCTTATCTTGTTCCAGACACCTGTCTCGTCGCAGGTAGATAATATCCGTATGTAACGTAACTAAAGCAAGATAACATCTTTTTACATACGCCAACATGGACTTGCTGCTAGCAATATCCTGTGGTTTTCTTTATTTTTAAGCCGGCTAGACCATTGCTGTCAAAATACAGCCCTAAAAAGGAGTATTTATGCTCCCGTTGATCTTAATTTATGCGACGAGTTGGAAGATGAAAACAGAGACACCATAACACGCCGGGCTACACGAACGAAAACTATTGGAACAACGGTGCTTAAAAAAGAAGGAAAAAATGTCATGTAATAAATGAATTCCAGACACTTTAGGGGGGACAACTTGAGTACAATACTAAAATCAGCTTGATCTCACTGAGGAAATTTCAATAAATATAATTTGACTTACTTGGTTATTTTCACAAAGCGAATCCGAAAAGCGCTGTTGCTTACCAAGTTATTAAATGACTTAGCACTTTATAAATTGAAGAACGATTGATTAAAAATCGCTGCACGTACCGCCAAAGCAATGTTGATTCTAAGCAGCTTTATAATAGTCGGCTTTATAACTAAATAAGCATATGCAAGAGATTTGTTTATATGCAGTTGTCTTCCAAATTTTTAAAAAATGAATCGGCCTCCTCAATTTGATTTTGTTGACTGATCCGAGGAAAAGAAATAAGGAAGTTATAAGCTAGTTGTTGTAATCGCTGAAGCTAATGTATGGATGTCATACAGCTTACACGTCTGGTATCCGAAACTTATGTGTCGTATTACATTTTATTTTGCATGTGTTGTGGCTAATTTTCGCAATTTGATCTCAGGGAAACTAGTGTCTTTATAACCTGGCAAATCAAAACAAACAAAAAATTACCCCAGCAGCAAAAAGCTGCAAAAAGAGAAATCCAACATCAGATTGAAAAGGTCACGAAAACCATGTACCACATCAATTCATGAACTTAACTTCCCATGTTAAATAAAATCGTAATCTTTTAAATGTTGTGAACTGAGTACCAGTCTTAGTAAGTAAGGGAATCCGATGTCAAATAAAGCTATTTTACATCATTTCTGGATCCCCAAAACCTGATATTTTAGGCAAACGAATTTGTTGATCAATTTAAAGTTGGATTTGCGCAATTTTTGTTTTTGGAAATGCGCAGCTCACAGATTGAGTTTCGCGCTATTAAGGTAATTCAAAATGGCGGATTTATACCGCACTGCTGAGTTAGAGCTTGTTTAATTTTAAAGAATTTTTAACTACTCAACAATGTGCTAAAATGCTTGCAGTTTTAGAGACCAGACTTTCCCATTACAAAAAATATGGAATGCAACTTTTAATAAAATAAAATGGCAAAACGTTTCTCTTCGTTTTGTGACTACTAGAAAAAGGACACGTTGTAATTGTGTTCTCTACTTACAGTGTATTGTTTCGTTTGCTGATGATTCGATTGCGATTGGAATATAATGAACCCTTTTAAGAAACAATAACAGCAAGCTATTGACTGGCTTCCCTATGATAACTGAGAAGGCTGGACGATACGGCAATTCGATTTTGTTTGCATAACGTGCCAAATGCCTTCCAGATTTCTCTCATTTTCATCTCTTGTTCTCTAGAAAGGGAATGAGAAAAGTTGGCCATAATAATGAGCTATACCGAGAGTTCATTCGCTTTCCTGCTTTCGCTCTCTATTCAACAATTATTTTGAATCCAACCTCCAAGGCTACTAAATTTCCCGCGAACAACATACTGAAATTACAAACTGCAAACTCTAAACTGTCTTCGGTATCTTTGATCAAACAAGTATAATTTAAAAAAGTGATTAAATACCACCGAACATTCAAATTTTTTGCTTCTCTCCCTGAAAGATAGAGAATTTTGATTTGGGATGAATAGAGTCTAGTACCCTGGAGCGGAAATTAATTTTTGTCGCTAAAGCGCGCAATTTACCTTCGTGTATTTCGTTTCGGTCAACAGCAAAGCCACGGGAGCAAAGGCCACGGACGTCTGACAAAGACTGAGCAGTTATGAGGGATTATTGTTTTAAAAACATTAGGAACTGCAGGACCCTTCAGTCGGTTGGTATACTTCAAGAGATCAACAACCAACCACACAATGATATTCGTTCGCGAATATTTTTGAATGACGTTTATTGAGCAGACCTTGACCACGAAGATCAAACTTCAAACCTCGGGTTGTCAAAACTCAGAATCCAATTGTCATTTCTTTAACACCTGGCTCAACAAGTGAACTTTATTTACTCAATATTGAGCCGAAACAGTTTCTTTTGTGTTCCGGCCATACGAAGCTTTGATTCCTTCTCATTTATTTTTCAAGCTAAACCTTTGTTTCGAACGTATGTGTAAATAGGGAAGAAATTTTTAACGCGCCTTTGCACAAACAGTAATAATTAATGATGCGAAATGGCGCGGTAAAATGAAAGAATCAAATGAAAAATACTAGATTGCGATTTTCTTTGATTGAAAGTGACGAATTTTAATTCAAACGGTCCGTTCTTCCCGAACCGTGCACGCAACAGAAAAAGATACCGCTTTGGTTATTAGCCATCGCGAATAAACACATACGACCAGCTTTCAACGGGGTATTTACTCAAAAACGTAACGCGGGGAGGTAGTTTATTTCCTCAAATTATAAGAGAAAAACTTTACGAGCTGAAAGTAAAAATGAATAGTAGCTTCTTCTAGAAGCAACCACGCGTTGCAACATTTTAAGTAAATTAAAATACTAAGTGTAATTTTCATGAGCAACGTATACTTTTGACCAACTCAGCTTACTAATAGCTTCCCGTCTGAGTCATATGTACCACTTTGTAAATTGAAATAAAAAAACTGATGGTGAAAGCCTTTGCATAAATTACTGTCCTGTTATTGTAAACTTTTGTAAATAACCCCTCCCCCTCGCCTCCTGAGGAAAATAAGTTATGCCTCGAAAATAAAATATTAATTAAGCAAGGATGCATGATACAACATAGAAAGCTCAACGCGAAAACGACATGATAGAGTCCAAACTGAAAGCCAAGATGAAACCTTGGACAGCTGTTTCGACCTGGTTGAGTCTCACCAGCTCCGCGTAGTAGCAAAAAATCGAGCAAGCAGCGCGAAGGCTAATCGTCCACTAAATGCACATATTGTGCTTAGAACCTAACTGTACAAATGTGGCAAGGGACTGCAAACGAAAATGCTGCTGGTATACTAGGATCTGTAAAAGATCTGACAATAAAATTACAATTAAGCAATGTTGATACTTCGTAGAATGCTTTAAATAACGCATGCCGAACGGCCGACAGAAAACAATCCGATTATGAGTCTCCCCAAAATAAGCCCATGAGCTTTTACTCAGAATAAGTAGAAACTATTTCAAATGCTACAATCTGATTGGCTGAGCTGTACACCAGCTACAACCATTAGTGTAGCGGAGGCAGGAAGTCGCTTACAAAATGGCGACTTCTCCAGCAAACTAACGAAGCTTAATGAGCACGCGCAAACAGCTGCAAGTTTCAATTAAGCATTAAGTCTACGACGATTTTGTAAATAATGAAGTTAGATACTACTTAAGCCTAGAAAATAATCGGAATCATTATTTAAAGGAAATTTAGTTAAATTCTACCAGAACAATTAGATTTTGAGCTAGAGATATAGAAATCCAGAGCTGATGATTCAATTGTTATTTCGTAGTTCTATTTAATATCTCCTGAAACTAATTAATAATTATTCCGCGAGCGCGCGTTGGATATGAGATGGTAGATGGCCAACGAGGCGTGTGGCGCCGAGTTGGCTGTAATCATCTTTATATCCAACAAAAGCTAGCGGAATAAACGTTTGATTAAAAACGCCTCCAAAATAAATAAAAGTACAATAAGATAAAAATAAAAACGCGCCTAAAACCTACGTGTACGTTTACAATACTCGTATAGAGCACGGCATAATGGCTCATGTACCATGATGACTAAACTTAGCCAATGAAAACTCTTGAATTGTATTATATAGTCTAATGGTTTAGTTTTTAATAAGTCCCATTATTAAGTAGCAAGTTCTGTATTTGTAGCCTCATCGTTTAAAATTTTGCGTTTTTAAACCCGCGTCGCACAAAAAGTATTTAATACATCGCACTCAAATTGCTTGGGACAGTTAATCGTGCAATGCTCTTTCAATATTCAGAGTCAATATTTCTGTACCTCGATCAGAAAATGGATCACTCATGCTAATGAGGCAAATATTTGTATTGTATTGCAGATATTGTAAGCAAACATTTCACTATTCAGACTGTTGATCGACGTTCATTTCATTTCATGATTGGAGGACTTGATTGCTATAATGCTGTTTAATCAGTATTCGATCTGTTTAGAGAGTCGGGCAAAATTCTTCAGACACAAAATGTCTTTGAGTTAAAAAACCTGCAAGCAATTACAAAACGCAAACTTAGAAACTTTCTAACGTTTCTGCCTTTTTTTCACTCCTTCCCACCAAAAAAGTGTTTCGGACCAAACAAGTAAAAGCTTTTTGCTTAATTAATTCTTGAATTTTACGGTAGATCAATGTAGGACATAAAGATTTTCCGAGGAATGACCATAAACAGCGCGCATTTTGTGCCGAGACTTCTGAAAGATGACATACGTTTGGGTGACTTTTTCAATAACATTATTTGAATAAAGCGAGCTTGATCTTTGTTTGTACAACAGGACTCGAGACGGACAAAGAAAGGTTTAGTTTTAGAACAACTGCTTGCAAGTAACTGAAAGAAAGCTTATCAAGTCAATGAGCAAACCGATGGCTAAGCATCAAAGTTTTCTATTCTATTCCGGAATCCCGAGTCCTAGTTCCAAATTTCTGATTTTGAAAATTGACGACCATCCCATAATCCTTTGGAGTCTAAAAACAACATAAACATGGCGGTCCGTATCCTGGGGGAATTGCACCATAGAGACGTAAACTTTTGGAACTTCTCTGCAGGATTTCTTCCAGCTCCATCATTCTCGTTCAGCTTCGGTCGAGCTAATTTCAGAAAGTAAAGTCAAATAGGAAAGGATTGGCTGGAAAATTCAATTTTGTCTAGTGGGAGGAGAGATCGACTTCGAAGATGGCCGAATGTATGGAACTTTTGAATACAGCTGCCATTGAAGAACAACAGGAAGAAATGACTGTCCTTCAGTCGATCTTTGAAGACGATTTTCAAATCCTCCAAGGAGGGGATGGAGAAGGTAACATTTGCTTCAACTTGACAGTCAAAGTTAACATCCCTTTCGACAGAATCGATTTCGAAGCTTTCATTCCAATTCCTGATCATGAAGAATTCGAAGCCGCTGTCGAAGAATGTTCTACGATTACTGGCGATAAAAATGACTCGAACAATGAACTTGGAACTCACTTCCAAGATGGTGAAGATAATGCAGCAATGGGTGAGAGTAATCACATCGAAATACAGCAAAATGGTACGGAACTGGGCGCTAGCTCTGAGAATGAAAATGAAAACCATGGCAACTCCCCTCACAGTTTTTCTGGGCGCACAAAACCTGGCTTTTCTCGATCCCTATCTCGGCGACACTGGCATGTGCGAGCTGATATCCAGTACTTGACTCCGATGCATGTAACCTGCACATTTCCTCAACTCTATCCTGCAGAATGCCCACCTGAATTTTCCCTTAGTTGCCTCTGGCTAACAAGAAATCTGATAGAGGTACTGCAAGCAAAGTTAAGGAGTCTGTGGACAGAAAGTCCATACCTACCCATAGTTTTCACTTGGGCAGATTGGCTGCAAAATTATGCATATGAATATCTGCGTCTGGGGTCACACTTGGTCCTGAAGGAGGATGAACCAGTAGAAAGGTTGGAGGCACACACACATGAAGAAAATCAGGATGAGATAAGTGAAAGATCTGTTACAACATTGCAGAAAGCTTTACTGACAATCTTTGAATATGACTTGGAAATGCAAAGGCGAGTGTTTCGACAGAACACTCACTTGTGTGAAATTTGCTTTGACGAAAGGGATGGGTCAGAATTTCACTATCTAGATGAATGCAGGCACTTCTTCTGCAATGACTGCTTAAAGGCTCATTGTGAACTTCATGTTGAAGGTGGCACTGTGCTTAACCTCTTGTGTCCAAGTCATGACTGCAAAACAATGATTCCGCCTGAGATTATTCAAGATGTCTTAGATCTGGACAAACTTGAGCGATGGGAAAGGCTACTTTTAAACAAGACCTTGGATGTCATGGGAGATGTTGTTTATTGCCCAAGATGCAATGTAGCGGTTGTTGCTGATGAAGATGAAACCTCTAGACTTGGCCATTGTGCAAATTGCTTCTTTGCATTTTGCACAGAATGCCTTGAGCCCTGGCATGCCAGACAGCCATGCTTTGAGGAGGAAACAGACTCTGAGGAGGAGGAAGGTGCCAAAAACAAGAACACAGAATCAAAGAAAAAGAAAGATAAAAAGAAAGAAGGAGGAGCTAAAATGACAGCTGCAGAATTATCTCTCAGAAGACGACAGAAGTTAGAGAGAGAAAAACAGCTCAGAAAAGAAATGAGTAATGTGTCGTTTATTCGGATGATGAGGCAACAAGGAAAGTATCAGTTCTGTCCAAAGTGTCGCATGGCTGTCGAGAGGATCTCTGGCTGTGACATGATGCACTGTTCACAATGCCGTGCTAGCTTTTGCTGGAGATGTGGTAAGTAAATGAAGAGGGTTGAAGGGGTAATGCACCCCTCCTGGGGGAGGACTCCCAAAGAAGAAGGACGGAGGTGTTTGTCGTTCCTTTTTGGGGTAAAAAATGCTGTTTTGGTACCTCTTAGGGTGTTCAGCCTCAAAAGGTCCACAGCGGAAGCTTTTGCGGTACCTGTTAGGGTATTGAGACGAAAGGAGGCAGGAGGCGGCGTGGCTGAGTGGATTAGGGCGCTGGATTTGAAATCTGGAGGTCCCTGGTTCAAATCTTCCGTCCTGCTGCTATCTGGATTTGTTCTCGGCAGCCCCGAGTTCAACTCCTCAGCTGCGTTGTATAAATAGCCAACTGGTCAGCCTCCCACCAGTTGGGATTCTTAATAGTTTATGTTATATTTGAAATATTTGTTTATTTATTTACAGTGTCCCCAATTAGCACATTAGTGCTAAATACATCGACACTTAAATAAAGTGATTATTATTTATTGATTAACAATGACAAGAGATACACAATGTAATGTGCCATTTTAGAATTGGTACCTCACAGGGGTGAAAAACATTTCAAGACATGCCCAGTCTTCCACAGGATCTTGGTACCTCTTAGGGGTTCTTTTCAAAATTTCCAATGAACACCCCCGTCCTTTTTATGTGGGATTTGCCCCACGGCACAAGCCTCTCCCCCCTAAGAAAAAAAGATAAGTTGACAGTTTGTATTTGCCTTGCTTTTGAGAGGCATTCCCCACCAGTCCCCTCTTAGGAACTTATGCTGTTGCTGGTGATCATACCTACAAAACTCCTTTGATAAAATATTGGATCCACTCATATTTCATAGATCATGAATTATCATCATTTCCTTAATAACAAAAGTTGTGTAAAGAATTGTGCATATAGAAAATGCAATTTTTGTATTATTATCCAATAAGTTATTTTTCAAAAAACATCAATGATAAAACTGACTTTATTAACGTGTATACCAGTAGTAGTTCAGTACATACTGTTACAGCAGTAGCCAATAGTTATTTTTTATCTGGGAAGGTCAACTTTTTGCATGCAATTATGGATGTAACAGAATAATTTCATCACCTACTTTATGGGGAGCAGGGATGGTGCTGTGGAGAGAGCACTCGCTTCCCACCAATGTGGCCTGCGTTTGATTCCAGCCTGTTGTGTTATGTGGGTTGAGTTTGCTGTTGATTCTCGCATTCCTCTGAGGGTTTTTTGTCCAGGTTCTCCAGTATTCCTCCCTCCACAAAAACCAACATTTGTAAATTAAAATTCGACCAGGATCGAGGACCCACATGAAATCAGCTAAGGCTCATATGGCCTCCTCTATAAGGATTGTAATTTACTTTACCATATACTTGGCTGGTCTAGTAACAACATTCCTCTTATGTGTTCTAGGAAGGGCAATTTCAGGATATGAACACTTTGGACAGTGTGGAAGAATATTCCATGAACCAGCACCAAGGGAGCCAACAGTCGGAGAAACCATGATTGAAGAGTACAGAAAGGCCAACCCAAAGAGAACACTACGGACTAAATTGTGTCCCCGTTGTCATCAGAAGTGTCTCAAAGAGAACAATAACAACAACCATCTAAAATGTTGGGCCTGTAAAACAGGTTTTTGTTATCAATGTGGGAAGGAAATTAAGGGGGCAGTGACAATGCACTTTACGGCGGCCAGTTCATGCACACAACATTCTGATGACTAATATAGGAATTTTCATGACCCATTTAGGGGTAGTTAGGGGTAATGTTGGCAGTAATGAAATTTGTATTAAGCTATGTCTTCTGTGGTATGCTTGAAATTATGAACCTGACAGTTCATCTACATGTACTTGATTCTAATGAGAAGAATGCCTTTTAAATCACCCATGTATAAGAACCTACATTTGAACAAGTCAGCCTAAATAGGTTCTTAATAATTATATATTGGGTGTTTAATGAGAAATCAGGCTGTTTAGGTCCTTAATAATTCACAACCTTAGTAAACCTATTTTTGTATCAGGTTGTCATTTTATTTAGGGGTTCAGACTACAACTACACTAAACAGCATGTCTTATCATACTGGAACTAAGTGGGAACTGGATTTTTAGATTAGTGATAGGAAACTTAATAACTATATCAAATAAGTATTGTAGTGAAGTACATTTTTCTCATACAATGGCTACATTTTGAATTACCGTAATTTAATTGGGTTGATATTACATTGTACAAAATATGAGAACCTGTTCCAAATTTCAGACTGAATGGCTTCTTATGTAATGAGGGTCCAATTTCCCAAATTACAGCCTGTAGGTTCTTCATCCACTGTGGTCTTAAATGTGGGTGGCTATTGACAATATATAGATCTTATTATTAGGACTTAAAGTAAATAGGTCTTAAACCATTTTTCCTCAAGAAAAAGTTGGACCTTTTATGGATTGATGATTTTCAACATTCAGTCCCTAACATAGCAAGAAAGTTTGTAGTTGTCAATGTAATAATTATTTATTATCAGTGCATAGAAGTAGCCTCCTCCACAGGCAATTTTGCAACTAAGGGAAGACTTCAAACAAACAAATTGGAGACAAACAAGAAAGAAGCATGTCAGGTGATGTGTTAGTTTATGTGCTGTATTGAACTTTAAAGAGACATGTAGAAAGTACTGTAGACCTTTGCTATCTCAATGGAAAGTACTAAACATTATGTCAGATAGCCTGTGAGTTAGAAAAGGCAAGGGGTGAATTGATTTTTCATAGATTTATTGAACTGGGAAATCTGTTCACTGGCTAGACTGATAATAATGGTTTTTGTCTTTCAAATAATAAAATAGCCTGAATTATTTATTTTACCACACTAGTTAATTATTGATGTAAGAGCACAAAATTATAGTCTGAACAGTGTAGCTTAAAAATTTCACCTATAAAATTCAAGTGTGAACACTCACCCAAAAGTGGGAATTCCAGATAACAAGTTGTTAAAGAATATTACAATAACTATTATTTAGAAAATAGCCCAAAGAAAATATGCATGCTGATTGGTTAAAAAATTGTGTTTTTATAACTGATTGATTGTGGTATTTTCTAAAAGAAATAGAAAACATGTTCTTCATGTTTCTAACAAGTTTTAGTATAAATCTACTGCCGTTCTCTGATTGGCTATGTTACTCTCTATCTATTAAACAATTACATTATTTGCTCTCACTTTCTATCGTGCGATAGAAATTGAGAGCGAATAATCTAATTGTTTTTGTATAAATCTACTGGTCATTCAAAACTTAATCTAAATCCTCTTCACAGACACTTCAAAAATGCCAATAAGTGTCCGTCATTTTGTCAACAAGGGCACACTGCTACGCTACTCACTATCTATCACAGAATAGATAGTGAGTAGTGTAGCCAATCAGAGATCAGCATTCGTGATAGAACGCTAGTAGATTTATACTAATCTGCGATAGATAGTGAGTAGTGTAGCAGTGTGTCCCTTGTTAACAAAATGAC